TGATTCTTAAAAATCGGAGAATTGACACCACTTTAACTGATAAATTCAATGAAGCTTTGGATCTGACTGGCATTTCTGATCTGGGTTTTGTTGGTTCTAAGTTCACTTGGAAAAGGGGAATGCTTTTTGAACGCCTAGATAGGTGTTTTGCTAATCAGTTGTGGATTTCCTCTTATGGTTTTTCGCAAGTTCGGCATCTTTACAGATTTTGGTTTGATTGATTATTTCAAAAAGGTTACCACCTATCACTTTTGTTATCTAAACGTATGGGCTAGACATGATGACTTTTTGCGAGTCATTGCTACTAATCTAATTGGAGATGTGAGTAATTGGAGATGTGAGGAGGTGGGCAATGCATGGTTCACTCTTTGGAAGCTGCATAAAAAAGTGGCTTTTACTCTAAGGTCTTGGAATTGGGATGTCTTTGGTGATGTTCATGCTAGAGTTAAGAGGGCTGAGCAGAGGGCCAGTCTCCTACAGGCTCTTGATGAATCTTCTGATGATATTATCCATGACTTACAGGAGGCTAATAAAGAATTATTGGAGGTCTCCTTTTGCGAGGAGGAATTGTTGCAACAAAAAGCTGGGGAAACCCACTTCTCTCAAGGTGATAGAAACACCAAATAATTCTATGCTTGCATTAAACAAAGACGAGCCAATAACACTATTGTGAGGATTAAAAATGATGATGGGAGTTGGATTACTGGGGATGAAGAGATTGGGGAAAGCGTTGTTCTTTATTTCTCTAAACTTTTTGAGTTTCAAGAGACTTCGAACTCTATTGATGCTTCCTTATTTGATGATACGTCATCACTGGATTTCGATCTCTGTGGTATTCCCTCAGATGAGGAAATTTATTCTACCCTTCTGGACATTAATTGCAACAAGGCCCCTAGGCCTGATGGTTTCACCTCTGCTTTCTATATTAAATGCTGAAGTATTGTTAAGGATAAGGTGGTGGAAGCTATACAGAGTTTCTTTAAGGGAGAGACCCATGAAAATTATTTCTCTGCCGCTAATATCGTTCTTATTCCCAAAAACACTCAAAAAAACTCTTGGGACCATTTTAGACTTATTTTTCTGACTTCTGTCATATCTAAGATGATTAGTAAAATATTGGTTAGGCGTATTCAACCTCATCTCCATAAATTAATTTCCTTGAATCAATTTGCCTTTGTTCAAGGACGAGGGATCACAGATAATATAATGCTTGCACAGGAACTCATCCGATATTGATAAAAAAAGTAGAGGGGGAATATAGTCACTAAATTGGATATTCGCAAGGCTTATGATTCTGTTAGTTGGGAGTTATGTTGAAGGTGCTTAAAGCTAGGGGCTTTTCCCAAGATTTTTGCAAAATTATTCTCTCATGGCTCCATTGCAATAAATATAGCATACTCATCAATGGTCAATCTCGGGGCTTTTTTAGTGCGAGGCATGGGATAAAACAGGGTGACCCCTTATCCCCTACTATTTTTATTTTAATATTTGATTATCTTTCTCTCCTTTTAAATAACATTTTCAGGAGAAACCCCACTTTGCAATACACTCATAAATCCAATACGTTGGTAACACATTTAGCGTATGTCGATGATATGATATTATTCTATAATGCTAGCAAAAAAGCGGTGAGAGATATTCACAGTTTAATGGTGAACTTCCAATCTGTCTTTGGTCTCCTTTTTAATGCCAATAAATGTAACTTATACATGGGAAATACGGTCAATCGTACTAATGCGTGCTGGATTGCCAATTTTACTGGATTCTCTATTTTTACCATTTCACTTAAATATTTGGGGGTCTTCTTACTTAAGGGAAGGAAGAGGCGCATTCAGTTTGATGAGATGGTGGAAAAAGGTGCCGAAGAAAATCTTGGATTGGAAAAATAATTTCCTTTCTTTTGGGGGTAGAATTACGTTGCTCAGGAGTATCTTACATTCTCTTCCTTTATATATTCTTCAAGTTTTTCAACTTAAGAAAATCACTCTTTTGAGCCTCGAAAGATGTTTCATTAAGTTTTTATGGGTGGGGAATCATTCAGGTAGAAGATGGATGCCTTGGAAGAATATTTGCAAACCCCTCTATGCCGGTGGTTTGGGTTTCAAATCTCTGCACTATATTGCTGATATTAAAGTTTTTAAACAATGATTTAATTTTGGGAAAGGTGATTCCTTGTGGGTCCTTTTCATGCATGGGAAATATTGCCACTCCTCTCATCCGACATTGATCAATTGGCGGTTGGGGGATTCCACCATGTGGAAGAGAATGCTTCATATTAGAGATTGGGCAAAAGATTTCATATACTGGGAGGTGGGGAGTGGAAACATTTCCTTTTGGCATGACTGTTGGTCCCATGTAAGGCTTGAAATGAGGGATACAAGGTTTTCAAGTCTTACGGTTTCTGATACTTGGGTGGATGGCCATTGGAATTTTCCTCTTCTCCTTAATCTTCTAGGTTTCGAGGGAGCTACTTTCATTTCCACTATTTCTATTGAGCCTCATTTGCAAGACACTCCTACATTGAAATTTCCTATGTGTCTTGCTCCACTATCAAATCTCTATATTCCGCCTTACATAATTTTTAAAAGCTTCCTTGGGGAGAGGGTGTTTGGAGTTGGACATTAACTTCCCTTATGTCTTTTCTGGCTTGGCGGATTTTACACTCTGTTATTCCATGTGATGATATCTTAAAAATGAAGGGTTTGAGATTTGCTTCATGTTGTTGTTTGTGTAACTCGGCGGAGGTGACTGTTGAGCATATTTTCTTTTCTTGCCCCTTTTCACTTTTCATATGGAGGAAGGTTGACATGTGGTTTAACACTATTGTGAATTCAGAGCGAAATCTTTTGCTTACCACTATGATTTGCAATTCGGATCGAAAACAAAAACATTTTTTGCAAGTCTACCCTTACATTATATGTTGATTTATTTTGATGACTCGTAATGATATTATACATGAGGGTAAAACCATTCAGAATAGGATGGTCTTTACTAATATTATTATCTATATTAATAAGCTTTGGAGGACGGGTAATGCTAAAGAAAGCCTCTTTTCGGGCATTAATAGCATTAACTATTTTCTTTCTATGGGGCCTGCAGTCATGGCTGAGAGGAGATCTCCTCTTCTACCGGTTTTGGTGAGATGGAGGTCTCCTTCCAGGGGTTGGGTAAAGTTTAACACTGATGATAGTTGAAAATTTAACAGTACGGGCTGTGGGGGCATTGTTAGAAATTTTGCTGGGAACTGTATTCTTTTCTTTTCCTACCCCTCTTATGCTGACACTCTTATGGAGGCGGAGGCTCGGGTCATCTTGATGGCTGTCATGATAGCTCACTCTCTTAGCTAACATTTTATTATCTTTGAATGTAATAATTACATCTTGGTTGACATTTTTGCCAATGGTGCCAAGACCCCTTGGGATATCCTCTATTATATTAAGAGGATTAAAAACTTAATCTCTAATTTAAATGTGATATGGAGTTTCAATTACCGGGAGGGAAATCAACCCGCAAATTGACTTGCTATTTTAGGTAGCGCCACTAGTAACTGTTGGGTGGGATCTGATCCCCCCTCCTTTAAACACTTTGCTGGTTGGTGACAAGATTGATGCCCCATATGTTCGTCGGGATGTCTCCTCTTAGCTTGTTATTATCTGTTTGGCGGTATGATTTGGCCCTGGATTTCATTGGGGCTGTCCTTATATTTCCTTTCCTACTTCGCGCTCGAGTGGCTCTCGGTTGGGGTGGTGGTTGCCGCTCACCTTATATTTATAGTAGTACCTACTTTTGGTTTTGTGGTACTTTCTTTGGGTGCTAGCTTTTGCACTTGAGTTTACGGGTTTTATTGGCTTCATTAACTCAATCTCTACTTTCACGGGCCCTCTTTCTTTCCTTTGTCATTATTAATGCAGGTTTTCTTTCGTAGAACTCAGACGCTTGTGATGCTGTTGCCGCCTGAAGCTCTTCACTCGGTCTTTGTGTTCTTTCTTAATTTTTTGGTGTACATCTTTTGTGGGGTATACGATTACTTTGGCATACTGGATTTAATGTTTTTTTGGGTATACTTTTTCCTTATTGTCCTTTTGGTGTGGAGTTTTAACGTGGATAAAGGAACCCCTAGGATTTTTATTTTGTTTTTAGACTGGGATCCTTATTCCCTCCCTTTTTTTGTTGTTTTAATTTATATTAACACGTAGGGAGCCACGAGATGCTCCTTCCCTTAATATATATATATATATAATGTTCCTATTACTCTGTAAAGTTGGCATTTCATTTATAACTCTCTAGGGATTTTCTCTTAAAATGGTTACTGTGCTATTTATGCTTTCTAATCTATGGAATAAATGTGTTGTGGATTCAAACACAGCCGGTTTAAATGTGTCACACTCAACCGGATTGCCCACAACTTACTTCGATTTTGCAAGAGACCGGACCAATATTGATCCCGTTAAATTAGGGCAAGAAAGTGTTCCAAAAAGAAATCAAGTGCGTTAAATCTCAGCTTAGGTTGTCGAACTACTAGTCAAATGTGAGTGTAAACTGTATATGATGCACAATATCTGTACCGCAATATTTTAGGCAGACATGGGAGTCCATACAAATTAATTTTGCAGGATTTACATACATGCACTCAATCCTATGTATTTATATATCTAACACCTATACTTCAATTTTTTCGTTTAGTTTACCTATTTATTCATGAAATGGTGTATTACACCTTTTAAAAATTAAAACAGTGGCATTTTTGATGTTATATTAAAGATTTGGTGGTATAAATGTAAAAATTAAAGGTTAAGTGTTAGATAAGTAAATATATAAGAATTTGATGGTATGTAAATGTCCCCATTAATTTTTCATTGGTATCCATGCAGGCAGTACTAATATTGTTTCGTCTTGGCTGTTTAGATGATTAACTATCATAATAATCAACTGATTTCACTTCCTGCTTCGTATTATTTTTCTATTTTTAAGGCCTTACCTTTGCAAGCTTTTCTTGTCAGAATGGGATTTTGGTGGCTTTCCTGCTTGGCTACTTGCCGTAAAGCCTGTTCTGAAGCTAAGATCTTCAGATCCTACATACCTTAATCTGGTATGCTACTTATGTTGTCTTTGAACATCCAACTATTGGTTTACTTTTTCCCATTTTCTTTAAAATTTTCCTTTTGTCTGGAATAACTTTTTTGCTAAAAAGTTATTTAATAAAGGTTTTCCAAAGTTGTACATGGAATTTGTGGTGCACAAATTTTTGAATGTTTTTTTGCTCCCTTATTTTGGATTTAACTCTGCAATTTTCTAGTAATAATTTGTGTTTCTTTTTGTAGACAAGTTCCTTATAATAGTGACCAAGCTTTTTCATTAAAAAATTTCCTTGTTTTAACTGCTGATTTTATTTTGATTATTTGCAGGTTGAGAGATGGTGGGGAGTTTTACTTCCTAAAATCTCTCCCTTTCTGTATGAGAATGGAGGCTCTATTATCATGGTTCAGGTTGTGGTCACCGCCTTTTCAGTTGGATGATTATTTTTCCTGTCCTATTAGTTTATCGGATATTGGCAGTTGCTTAGGAAAGTATTTTTTTTCTAGATTGAGAATGAGTTTGGATCATTTGGAGATGACAAAGCATACCTTCGCTACCTAGCTACATTAGCACGTGAACATCTTGGGAATCATATAATTCTGTAAGTGCTTAATAATTCTGTTTAACTAAAGCCATGCATCCTTCTTAAATTAGGATGATAAAAGGGTGTAATTATCAAACTATAACTAAATTTTTGGTTCAAATGTAATTACATAAATGACTTCTAAGATAAGGAATTTGCTGTAATAAAATAAATTGTAAGGTTAAAAAGTACAGATAAAGACAGATAATTGAGAGAAAAATGTTAATGTATTTTCCAGCTATCATAAAAACCTTTTTTTGTGTGATTATTCTTGGTGCCTCAATGATGATCTTTTTCATATACTAACGGGAAACATTGGCCATAAGAGGATACTAAATTGTGTGAGTAATTTTGCCATGGTATAATCTTGATCTAGGTCGATGGAGAACATCCTACTATTAATGTGCTACATATATTTTAATTAGTTTGGTTTTATTTTCTATTCATTGTTTTAACAAAAAAAAAATAATAATAATAATAACCTTAGTGTTTTCGTTCATTTTTCTCTTTTTTATTTTTAAAAGGAGTCGTCAGCTTGTCGATTGTCGTATAATTCCCCAATTCGAATAAGTCTCCCTCCCGAACCATATAAATGATTCGAAGAGGAGAGGAATTGAATAAGAAGGAATATACGACAAAGAGACAAACAAGAGAAAAAATAAAACGTGGAGAGTCTATGTGTGATAAACCTCGCAAAGATAGGTTAAGAATGTCCGCCCAAACAAGATCGGGCGGAGACACCTTAAACCAATATCCGCGAAAGAAGTATCTACATAGACTACCCTTAACCAGAGAGTCAGGTGTATGTACCTGTTCTGGGGTCAAGAGCACTCCCAGAGGAACGTGTTCCTACTGGTTAATTACATCTTGGGGGATACCCAAGAATACTCTCGATAAAAGAAGTTTCGCTTCATATTTTCATAAACCTGGGGTATATGCAATCAAATGAAGGTTATTCCGTGTAGGAACAGTCCCAATACTTCAAAGCTCACACTAAGTCATCGGACAGAGAGTAAGTTTCTCACATCCCAAATGGGTAGTGGCTAATCAACACACGGGGTCCACGGACTAACCTAAATCATCTTGACGGAGATATCCCAATACGTCAAAGCACGTCCGGGCCAGAGGGCAGAGGATAAATCGTCGTATCCCAAATGGGCGGCAGCTCATCGGCATCGGGCCGTCAAGGTGATATCAACGAGGTCAAGGAGCGACAGGGCTCAAAGGGGCTCAACAAAAAGGAAGGTAGAGTGATCCTAAAAGGTAGAGGTAATTGGGTCGGGGTACCACGGACCCGTCATACACAGCTA